ATTATAAAATTCCTTTTATTCATTTATAAAAAATATTGATTGTAGGTGTTGAACTTAAACTATGTCTCATGAACATTTCTTTAAGTATTATGTTTGTGCCATATCACTCACCCCTTGCAACCACACACACCTTATGGGCCAATAAAATACACTGATTCAACGGCCATGTTTACTAAAATTGCGGGCATTCAGATGGCAGACCTGGATATCTGTTTGGACAAAATAGAGGCACGTCTTAGCAAGCCTCCAGATTAACACCATCCCCTTCATCCTGGGGATGTGTGTGTGTCACAGGCGATTACTTTAATGCTGCATATGTTGTGCTTTGTAAATGGTAATTTGCAATTTGTAATAGCATCATGTCCCACCTCAGGACATTCACGGTGTCACGTGGGGAAAAAAACACAGACACCTCCACAAAAGTGTTTCTTTTGTTTGTTGTGTCAGAGCATGTAAAGCTCATTTAAAGCTACGTTAACCACACTTTTACAGTTACAGGCCTGAGTGGCTATTAGTACTGTACCACTATAGTGAACTTCAAACATTCATGCAACATTTTGGACTGAAATTTCAGTAGCCAGCAGACAATAGTGAGTAGCGTTTACAAAAAGCTAGCTGGCTAGTGTTAATGATAACTTTAATATTGCTGATTACCTTCTCAAAACAGCAGTTAGTATGGTCAATGTTATAGATTTAACCAAGTACTGTGTCTGTATATTAACTGATCTAAAGCTAATATTGCTATAAACTAATTTAAAAGTAGAGAAAGGGAACTTTACACGTTTCACAGTGTGCGTGGCCATGTAGATTTGACATCACTCCGTGAATGGGGACAGAACTGGTAGTTCTGGTAGTCTGGGGTAGTCTACCCCAAGTTGACTAGTTGAAATTTCAGGTTGAGGGGGCATTTTTGGTGGTTTTTACTGGTTGTAGGAAGGGACGCAGAAGTTGTAACCTTGTCTTGAACGCAGCATAAGACTACATGGGAAGCCCGGCCTCCACTAAAATTTCATTGAAATGCGGCAATTAAATGTTTCTATATTAAACATGTTATTTATCACTCTTGGTGAAATGCAGTAGGTTAGTTGATAAAATGATCAAAGATCTCGGTGCAGTATTGTACTGTTTGTTCATTTAACGCAAATTGTTTTCGGGGGACAGCACAGCCTGCATGAACATCTCCTTTGAAGCCCCTGATACAATGCCCATGGAAATACAGTGAAGCACAGGTACCTATGGATTTCTATGGCAGATTCAGTTACACTGTGGTTTAACGGGAGAAAAGATTAACACTCATTGGACAACATGCTTTGAATACGTACGTTTATGCCCTGCCCAGACACACCACTTCACTGGGACACAATGGATGCTTCATTGGTGGGTTTTGAATAGAAAAAGAAATCTCAGTGTGTATGGGACAATGCACTCTTCACTTGTCCCACCCAGACACACAGCTTCTTCATATGATGATTGGGAGACCTCTAAAAGGGGCTGAACCTCATAACCAAATGCCCATCATTAAAACATTAATGAACATGACCGACATTTCAAACTTAAATCTATCAGCAACAGTAAGATGCACAGTGTGCTCAGAGCTGCAGCAATCAGTCAGTAACCAAATCCATAACAGTTTTGTACGATTAGTATAGCTTGTTATTTTATCATTGTAATTCGTAAATATTATAAATAAATTGTTAGTATAAAGTTTTGTATGATTGTGTTCGTTTTTTGTATTTATAGCACTAGCTAGCTAGCTGTGATTATTAAATCTAAAGTGGACAGCAGTCAAGAAAAAATATGAATAAAGAAATGTGAACAAAAGTAAACCATTACTGTTAAGCCATGTAAATTTTAAAGTAAACTAATGTGGTTAATAGCGCCACTGTGTATCGAGTGACCTGGTGGCTAGAAGAGCTAGCTTACAGTCTGTTTATTTAACTGGTAATGGGGAATGTGCTCTCTCCGCTCTTTTACCACTTATGTCTTTCATGGGTAGGCAAGCGCTAGATAATCGTATATAAAAGCATAAATGGCTTACAAGTTTCTTGGTACTCTGTATCATTTAAGCCACTAGAATTTATTTGCACAACATCCCCTCTGACAGTATCTGACAACAAACAGTATTAAGTCTAGCGCCACTATCTGACAGTTTGTTATATTTCACCCTGAAATTCATGTTTTGACCAATGTAAATATACAGAAAACTGTAATTTGAAGGCAATATTCAAGTTGCTAGATGTACGATTTGGAATTTCGCCCCCTCTCTGGCAGAAAAATGCTATTGTAAGCAAGCTACTTGAGTAAGAACATTTTATACGTGGGTTGTGCTGCAACATTCTCTGCCAGCCCGGATTAATCTCATAGAGTGTGCACATTCAGAAAGAATTCAGGGCTGTGTCCCAAACTGCATAATGTGCAGCAGTACTAGTAAGCCTAAATAGTAACAACACCAATGGTGTACTGACAACTGTTTATATGCTATTTGTTTGTAGCCGAAATGTTTTTGGATATAGTTAAATGCTGCAAAACCTTTTGGTTCCTTCTGATTGTGTTAGAGGTGGCTTGGCACATTGATGAGGCTAATTAATGCACTAAAATATAGAGGCCAAAACTATAACTAATATGGTTATAGTATGAATTCTATGTAGGTACAGATAGGGGTCTCCTTTCAGTTACTGTTACAGTAAGGATGGACATAACCCGAGCCATCACACCAGTAAACCATGAAAAGCCTTTGTCCCAGTTGCTCTCTGACTAACTGTATAGTTGTCAGGGCATAAAGAGAAGCACACAAACATTAGTCACTAACAGACTAACAGTCACAAGTTCTCTAGCTAAACTTCACAAATGAGTAACGAGGAATATAATCTGTTATTCAGTAGCTTCTAACATATTAGAGAACAACTGAATGCCTTAACTAAACTTAAAAAAGCTAAAATGCTATCAGTTCTGAATCGTTTCCCTTCTTATTGTATTATATTGGACACTTTGACTTGCAGACTTCCATTTGCTTTGTATACACACTAACTCTCTCTCTCTCTCTCTCTCTCTCTCTCTCTCTCTCTGTTTATCTCTCTCTCCCTTCTGATTGGCTGTAGCTCCTGCCAGGCACTGTGTAGTCAGTTTTTTTTCATGCCTGAAGCTGGGAAATGATGACTTTCAATGTATCTGTTATGCTGCATGATGTATGAGTAAGTCTTTAAGAGCGGTGACTTGAGCACACAAAAACAGATCTTGATGGTGAGGTGTATCTAATTGTGGATCCGAGGCATCATAGGCCACATCCTTCCAACAGAAGTTACTTGTTACCTGAAAATGAATCTTTGAAGGCGTTGCCTTTAGACACCATTCTGTCATCATAACATTTTGTATGTTGCACACACAACATTTGTTTATTTCTTATTGCTTGAACATTTACCTGCTTACCTAAGGATGGATCTCGAACTAGTAGGCTGAACTATTGTACACCAAGTGACATAGCTAGCTAATTAACTAGAAAGTTAGCTACATAAGCTAGCTACATAACATGTGAGACGCTTCACGTTATCTTGTGACATATATGACCTGTTTGTCCAAACTTTTATAGGACAGTGGGCCGCTGAACAGAATCATGGGATTGTCTACACTAAGAAGAACACATTCATTAATTCATTTATGTTTTATCCTCCTTTATCCTGATATAACCATTTATCATGATATTTCAATAAGGAAATAAGGTGATAATTATTTTCAGATATTGACCAGCCCTAGAGAAAAACTGGAGAACTTGAAAGAAACACACACAGCCATGGGGAGAACATAGAACACATGCTGCTCTTAAATTTGGCCAAAATAAGGCACCTCATTGGGGAATTTCCTTCCTAATGTGACAGCCGCTATCTTGGGATCATGCTAATGCTGCCCAAATATACTGCCTTCCCAGGGAGCAGTAATAGTGTACCTATAGGTGTCAAAGAGGCTTACATAACAATCATATGAATGGAAGAAACTGCCTTTGTATCCTGTCAAAAAATATAAGAAAATATTAATACAGACAAAGAATTTGGTTGCTGTGTGACAGTAAAAACAGGTCAATGGAAACCTGTGTGTGTGTGTGTGTGTGTGTGTGAGAGAGAGAGAGAGATTATGTGACTCCAGATGTTTCCTGCATTCCCATTTTTATTTTTATGTGGATTGCACCAGACGGACCCGATTGATGTACAGAAGCAACTGTGTGTGTGTGCGTGTGTGTGTAGGGTAGGAAGAGACATTACTGAATTATTGTTTCCTCATCGTCTCTCATCTAGTGCTATAAATACTGCGTAAGTGCATTATTTTCTTTATTAGCATAATAGTTAAGAAGTACACCCTCAACTGACTGGTGCTTTTATCCAAAGCGACCTACAGTTGAACAGTCAGGGTTTAATGGTCTTGGCAGCTTGGCAGTGCTGGTATTGGAACTCACAACCTTCAGTAGCTCAGAGCCTTAACTATTGAGCCACCACGTTCCAAAGGCATAAAGCTGCTTAGAAAATGATACCAGAATTTTGATAATGTAAAATAATTAAAAGTGCAAAATAACAGCTGATAAAATTAAAACTGACTTTTTTTAATCACTACTGGTAAAAAACAAAGAAACATACAAACAGAAAACGCACACAGCATCTGATCGTTGGCTCAATGTTTGTTCATTCTTTTCCATTGAATAATTGATGCAGAAAAATGCACTGACTTTTGGATAAAGCATATTAGACTATACAAGACGTGTATATGGAAATGTGGAGCACAAACAGATTAAAATTTTTAGGTTACAGCCCAAAATATTAAGTCAAATATGTTGTTGTTGATTTTTCGGCTACTCCCGTTAGGGGTTGCCACAGCGGATCACTGGTCCGCATATTTGATTTGGCACAGTTTTTACGCCAGATGTCCTTCCTGATGCACCCCCCTCCAGTTTTATCCGGGCTTGGAACGGGCACTGACAGTGCACTGTCTTGTGCAACCCCAGTGGCTGGGGTTGGTTCCCTAGCCAGGAATCGAACCCGGGCCACGGTGGTGAGCGCACTGAGGCCTAACCACTAGTCCCCAGGGACCCATTAAGTCAGATATGTGTAAGTTAAAAAAAAATAAGATTATGCCATATCTTTTTTCTCACATTATTAGTTCATGTAATTTTATTTGACCAGATGCCATGGCAAACAGAACTGACTTATAAGCCAGCTTTCATCCTCTGAACAGACTGTTCATTGTTTGGTCACTTATACTATATGGCCAAAATTTTGTGGACATCTGACCATCACTCCCATATGTGCTTTGTGCACATCCAGATCCCATTCCCCCTTTGCTGTTATAATAGCCTCCTCTCTTTCTGCGAAGGCTTTCCACTAGATTTTGAAGTGTGGCTGTGGGTAGTTTCTGATTCAGTAGTGAGGTTGGGCAATGACGATGGGTGAGGAGGCCTGGGGCACAATCAGTGTTCCAGTTCTTCCAGAAGGTGTTCAGTGGGGTTGAGGTCAGCCACTTGGGTGTGATGGTCAGGTGTCCACATACTTTTGTAGTATTGTAATGTACATATGTAGTTTTTTTTTAATACCAGAAACAAAAGCAACCTCCTACCCCCACATTGCGTAAAACTGTAAATGTTTTCATTTGATTTTGCTGACCATTTTGATTTTGTTCCCTGTTTTCTGCTGGATATAGCTTCTATAGTGAGATCACATTGAGAAGTTAGAATGGTGTGTAGCAGTGAGGTGAGTCTAGGTTTTAGAGGTTAAATAGTAAGAGTAGATCATTTGAATTCATTTATTGTGTTCAAATGAATGTAATTGTTGAATATGTGATTTAGATATTCCTTAAGTAAAGGTGAAATAGAAAAAAATGTAAAAAGCATGATACCATTACCAGTTTAAAAGACAATCCTGTTTGAAGACAAGAAGTAATAAGTATAATTAATGAAGTATAGTATAATTTTAAAGAAAAAAAATAAAACCCATAATAAAGTCAGTACGCACAGTAATGTGTCAGATGCACCCAGTATTTTATATACAACTTTTGTCCTACATGCCTATTTTATGCCTGCTGCTTGGTACAACCTACCAGCCGAGTTTCCCATAAAACTACATGACAGATTACCTAAAAGAATTTATGCAATTAAATGCAAAAGCAAATTTTGATTTGATGTTTACTGTTCTGATACCATTTACTGTTCTTTATAGTTTTAGATCTTTAGAAACTTTTCACTTTCTGAATTTCTTATAAAATTTCTTTAAAAAGACTTTTGTGCAGTACTGTATATAACAGCAGCGTTAAAGAACAGGATTATGAACATTAATGAACCTAAATGTCCCTGTATAAAACAATAAGCATAAGAAAGTGTGTGTGTGTGTGTGTGTGGGTGGGTGTGAGACAGCGAGAGAGAGAGATAGCGAGTATAGTATATATTAGGTGCGTTACATTTCTGTCTCAGGTATGGACAGGAAACGTTTGGAGAGCCTGAAAAAAACGACCAAGCAAAACCAATGTGCATGCAGACTTTTAGAGCATCAGCCCACATAAACATCCGGTGTCTACACATGCGCACACACACATTCACACTCACACACACACACACACACACAGCTCTTTCCTTCCTGTTCTCCTGTGCACTGTCAGAAAGTGAGTGAACAGTGTGTTTAGCACTTTCCCTATGTGCAATCATAAGGTCATTTTTACACAGAGCGACTGTGTATGAGATGAGACAAAGGGAATCCGTAAGGGAGGTAGTGTGAGCGTGTGAGAGGGAAGTGGGACTGCATTCAGCCTTGGACATGGTGGAGGAGAAGATGGGTGGATGCTGGAGCAACACCAAGGTGAGCCTGTTGTTGTAAATGTTAGCTTAATGTTGATTCTGGCTCAGCCCAATAATCCTGAACTGTAATTAAAACTGCAGTCTGAGGATTAACAGATTCAGCACGTGGAAGTCTCAGTCATGTCTCAGGATAGTGTTTGTCTAGTCTTGGTCAGATCACCATCTAGATAATCATACCGGTGAAGGGATAATTGAGTTTTAGATGCAGAACGATTCTCTCTTGAAAGATTCTGCATTCCGTTGGATGAAGTATATGATGTCAACACTGACTGAGAACAGAAGGGAACTGCACTGTGTAAACAACCTGAACGGGTGCTTTTTTATGTAATCAGATGTTTTTGTGACATTTTGGGATTTGTTAAGGTGAATTCCTGTAATAACTTTGGTAATTACAAATAAGAGCTTAGAGATTGAACTCGGAAGTAAGTCATTTCTTGGAAATGGATGCATTAGTCTGTAGACAGTAAGGTAAAGTACAGTACTATTCATCATACAGTCAGAATATAATGGGGGATGTTTGACACATTTACCGCCTAACTAAGCTAAGCTGAACTAAGCTGTTTGTTCATATTTTCAGGTGTAATTCAGCCGTATTCTGTGCTAGAAAACTAGTGCATTATTTATGATTCTGGCATATGAGCAATCAACACACAATTTAAGCACCATGTATAAGGTAACATGCAAAGTGTGTTTATCCCAGTTGTACATATGCATTTGATGAAGGATAGTGCATAAAAGTGGAAAGTGGAAGTGTAGCTGAATATTTTGCTTGATGAACTAAGCGTGGGTCAGTTAGCAGTGGTCAGTTTTGCATGTGATTTTGTGTAAAGTAACAGTGTGCATGTTGCTAGGAGCACTATAGACTGTGTTGTCATGTTTTTGGACCAGAATTGGACTATTATTGAACTGTTGTGGGTATCATCAGTAATTTTATAACAATTACAAATTCTTACTGTAAGCATCCAAATAAATGCTAAAATTTTCCCGGGCTCCCAAGTGGCACAACAGAAGAGCACTCGCTCTATCATCAGGAGGTTGTGAATTCAAATCCCAGTGATGCTACAGTCATCCATGGTTGGCTGCCTGGGGAACAAAATTGGCCTGGGTGGGTAGGATGGCATCTCCCCTGTCGTTCACAATAACGCTACCGAATCGTGGGCATCTATGAGCTAACGTATACTGAATACGTGTGTTGCACTGCCCTGTGATGCAGCGTGAAAAGATGCAGTTGGCTGGCATCACGTCTTGGGGGAGTGTTAGACTTCACTCTCCCCAGCTGGTAGCTGTAGTATGATAGGGGAGAGCTGGCTGGTAGTAGGAAATGGGATTGGAGAGAAAATAGGGGGAAAAAAATTATGCTGACATAAAATAAAAGTATCCTTGAATGCAGTTTTTTATTGCAACTCCACTGTTTAGCCGGCAGCGTGTTGGCAAACTTTTATACCCGGATGCATATAACCGTAGAAATGTCTTTAAGTATCAGGATATGATGTTTTGGTCATATTGCCCAAACCTACTTTTTGTAATTCAACACACTAAACAGGATTTTTGTAACATTGCTAATTTTCAAAATTTTATAGGAGCTGCATACAAGAAAGAATGAAAAACAGTTTAAATACAGACTTTTATACAAAGTAGCTTTTTCTGTATGCAGTCGTCTTTTCATTAGAGTAAAACCCAATGTCTAATGTCGTTTAAGCTTTAGTGATGTAAAAATGGTAAAAAAAAAAAAAGTTTTTTACCTCGCAGACTACAAACTAACACTAAATAGTATATCAGTGTAATATTTAACTTGAGATACTGATACTGTTAGATGCCATAGTACTTTCACATACCATTTATTAAAAATTTGTGTATAACATCCAATGTTTTTTCTCTCTTTGTTCATTGGTCCAAATATCCAGAACACATAGCACAGTCTATAGTAACTCAAATAAGCACTCTTTACAACTGTGGTGTACAGAAAAGCATCTCAGAACGCACCAAAACTGGACAGTTGAAGACTGGGAAAAGACCAAGTGATTTTTTTATTCTTTTTTTAACTCAACTCTCCAGTTTGGGTGAGTCTGTGCCCATGATAACCTCAGATTCGATTCTTGTTTTTGGCTGACAGGAGTAGAACCTGATGTTCTACTCCTGAAGTTCTACTTCTGCCGTTGTAGCCCATCCACCTCAAGGTTCAATGTTTTGTGCATGCTGAGATGCTTTTCTGCTCACCACGGCAGTAAGGAGCAATTGTTTGAGTTACTGCCGTGGATGTTATATACAAAAATTTGTGTATAACATCCAACATTTTTTCTCTCTTTGTTCACTGGTCCAAATATCCAGAACACAGTCATAGCATTTCTGCAGTGCTACAGTAGTTTGCACCTTGCAGGTCAGTTTAGCAGCTCACACCTACAAAAAATGCTGTAACCCATAATACAGTTGGGTTTATTCCGCCTCAGACAGACTTGGACCGGTTGTTTTTTCTGCTCTCAAGTGCGATTCCTGTGTTCTTATTTTTCCAAATGAACCACACCAAGGAGGAAAACGTGCTAGGGCTTGATTCAAACTGACTAAACATTGCAGACTAAATTGTTTTGTATTATTTCAAATATCAGTCTCACCTTGTCAGTTAAAACCTCTAAGCTCTGATCCTTTTGGCAAAGTTGAGCTTAGATCATGTTCCCTGATATCAAATTGTGAGATAGCTGATAGGTCTCAGAGTATAAATGGTAATCAGATTGTCTGATCTGGTCTTAGACATTTTTACTCGCTGTAAAAGTATTAGACAGCCTAAGCTTTTACCTTCAGTTACATTGGCTGAGAATCTGTTTGGTGCATCACGCTTTCAGTCAGATGGTGCTGAGAGAGCGTGAGGTCTTTTGTTCTTTAGTTGTTATTTAGCCATTTTCATATAACTCTCATAAGACAATTTGCTACTTGTTTTGTTCTTCCTGCTTCCTGTCAATCTAGTTCTTTTCATTTTTACTTCTTCTTCTCTCTTCCTTTCAATTGAATGTTAACTAAATTTCAATCGCAAGCTGATACTCAAGGCTACACTGTTTTTTTTCTCTGTTTTCCCACTGACTCCATATATTTTCCCAAACAATTACTCATGATCATTTCCATTCTACTTGAGTCTAGCTAGTGTCCTTTACTCTGTCTCATAATGCCAGCATAACACAACTGCATTGAATGACAGAACTGTAAAGCAGCTTTATGTCTGTTTTTTTTTAAAGTCAAATGGACTTTTAGAAAGA